TTGAGTGTCCGACTTCAGCTCAGGTCATGATCTTGCAGTTCATGAGTTTTTGCCCCACGTTGAGCTCTGTGCTGACAGCTCCAGAGCCTGCTTCAGATTCTGGGTCGCCCTCTCTCTCTGCCTCTCCCCGCTCATGCTCTATGTCTCTCCCTCTCTCTCTCAAAAATAAAATCAACATTAAAAAAATAAAATATTTTATAGACTAAGTGATACGGCCATGTGTTACAAAACTTTCTATTCATCTTGGCCATTTCTCTGATGTTTCTGTCATTTAAAAGAAGGGTGTTAATACGAAGTAAAAACAAAGAATATCCAAAAATGTAATTTGTAGAACAATAATGATGAGGACTCATTTTACCTGATTTGAAAATATATTTAAATTTGACAATGATCAAAACTGTATAGTATTTTGTAAAATAAAAAAAATGATCAGTTGCTATGGCATAGCAGAGATTTCAGAAGTTAAAAACTCTTTTTTTGTTTAAGACAGAGCAGAAATTACAGAATGATAGGGAAAAAGTAGCATTTGTCAGGTATTTATTTCGATATAGAGGAGAATCTGTACTCTGTACACATGCTGAATGTATAACAATGGAAAGAGAAACAGAACCTAGGAAAAATAATGTATACCATTGTACTGAAATTCCTTAAAATGGACACAGGTGTATTAGATGAATATGCCAATCCTATTTGATGCATGTACAAGGAAGATGAATGCTTGAGGAAATCTTAAATCATCGTATAGGAAAATGTGCTGCCTCTCCGCATTAAAATAAGTTAAAATGTGGAAACATCCTTACTGATACAGGTAAGACGATCAGATATTTTCTTTCCTCATGGAGAAACAGGGATGCTGTTGATGGCGTTAATTGTTTCAGGTGTTACGGAGAGTAATTCGTCAGTATGATCGAGTTATATTATCATTGTTGATGGTGGTGGTGGTGGTGGTGACTGGCCACGTGCCAAACACTGTGTTGAGTAAGTGAGGGCACATTTGGAGGACAGCTTGCTGTCTTGGCCACAGGTATGTCTGTGTGACCAGACTTGTCATTGAGTGGATCACGCAAAGCCCCACAGTCTCCAGCGCACCTTTTCAGATTCAGTGTTCAACATTTCCTTCAAAATCTGTTTTTTTTTTAAGTTTATTTATTTATTTTGAGAGAGAGAGAGAGAGAGAGAGCAGGGAAGGGGCAGAGAGAGGGAGAGACAGAATCCCAGACACACTCCACACTGTCATTGGCAGATCCCGCCCGACACAGGGCTTGAACTCACCAACATGAGAGCATGACCTGAGCTGAGATCAAGACTCGGACATGTTACCAACTTGGCCACCCAGACACCTCCCAAAACTGTTTTCTTTATAGGCCATATTAATTTTTTAAAAATTAAAAAAAACTTGTTTTCCATATTCATTTTCTACTCCGTGTTTGTAAATGCTTTCCCCCATGCCCTGAATGTCTTCTCTTCTCTTGGTGGGTGGATTCTTTTTCATCTTTTAGAATTTTGTTCAGACTGCATCTGGTCAGTGAAGTCTTGGTCGCTGTGACCCTTCAGACCCCCTGAGGCTGGCAGCTCAGGGCAGGAGCTGTGTTCCAGTGATCTTGATGCACACAGTGGGACTGAACACCTATGTGGGAGTGAATGAACTAAGGAAAAAGGAAAATCCTAAGATTAATGTTATTTGCTGGCTCTTTCATTAAATTCTATTAAACTGAATCTTGTCACTTTGGCTCAGTATAAACTTATTTAACTGGAGAACTCCTGACACATCTATAAAGTGGGGTAAGCTGTTACCCCCAGCTCCGTTATTGTACACCAGGCTGCTGTTGGGGTTTGTACTTGTCTCATTGCTTGTTTGCTGCAAGATAAGCTTTTCAGTGGCTAATGTCAGGTTCTTTTGTGTGTATAAAGTTGATCACGGCAGTAATTTATCACCTTTTTGAGGCCAGGGTGGCATTAATGAACTCTTCTCCGCTTTTTAATATTCCTAATAAAAAATATACTTAAGGGCCTTTTTAAAAAAAATGTAAATCCAACTTAGTTAGCATATAGTGTAATAGTGATTTCAGGAATAGAATTTAGTGATTTATCACTTACTTATAACACTCTGTGCTCATCCCCAGAAGTGTCCTCCTTAATGCCTCTTGCCCATTTAACTCATCTCCCCACTCACCTCCCCTCCAGCAACCCTCAGTTTGTTCTCTGTATTTAAGAGTCTCCTATGGTTTGTCTCCCTCTCTGTTTATTTTTTTTTTAATTTTTTTAATGTTTATTTATTTTTAAGAGAGAGACAGTCAGAGCATGAACAGGAGAAGGGCAGAGAGAGAGACACACACAGAATCCAAAGCAGGCTCCAGGCTCCAAGCTGTCGGCACAGAGCCCAACATGGGGCTCGAACTCATGAGCCGTGAGATCATGATCTGAACCAAAGTCGGACACTTAACCGACTGAGCCACCCAGACACCTCTCCCTCTCTGTTTTTATATTATTTTTGCTTCCCTTCCCTTATGTTCATGTTTTGTGTCTTAAATTTCACATATGAGTGAAATCATATATTTGTCTTTCTTTGACTTATTTTGCTTAGCATAATATATTCTAGTTGCATCCATGCTGTTGCAAATGGCAAGATTTCATTCTTTTTGATTGCCAAGTAGTATTCCATTGTGTATATAAACCACATCTTCGTTATCCATTCATCAGTCCATGGCTATTTGGGCTCTTTCCATACTTTGCTGTTGTTGATAGCACTGCTATAGACATTGGGGTGCATGTGTTAAGAGCCTATCTTATTTTCAGGAAGAGAGTTGTTTTTTTTTCCTTTAAACTTTTGGGACCCAGAAATGAAAATATTTCCCTTTGCATGAATTATTCATCTGATTCTTCCTGCAGAAATTAATGCTTCAAGACACCGAATGAATTTAGATTAAGGAGAATATGGTATTTGTATCAGGAGATAAAGGTTTGATGCATATGACTGAGACCTCACTTAACAAGACCGGAATTTTTTTCTCTGTCATGTAGTTGTCTGGATGCAGGAAGAGCCCGAATCAAATACGATGACTGTATTCTGCATGGTTGTTTGGGGTTGGTGAGGCTGTGCCAAGGTGTTAGGTATTTGGGCTCCTTTTATCTCATTGCTTTATATTTAAAATTTAATGCTTATTAATTTCCTTTTTATTTTATGTTTTGATTATTATTATTTTAATTTTTTAATGTTTATTTCTTTTTCAGAGAGAGAGAGAGAGAGAGAGGGAGAGAAAGCGAGCATGAGTGGGGGAGGTGCAGAGAAGAGAGGGAGACACAGAATCTGAACTAGGCTCCAGCCTCTGAGCTGTCAGCACGGAGTCTGATGCAGGGCTTGAACTCATGAACTGTGAGATCATGACCTGAGCTGAAGTCGGACGGACGCTGAACCGACTTAGCCACTCAGGCGCCCCTATGTTTTGATTATTGTAGTGATTATCCAGTTAGCAGTTGTGCTTGACTAGAAGTAGAAGTCATGGTTTATAGCGTTTTATGGGCTTGGCAGGGCAAAATAGTCTTGACAATAAATATTTGGCTTAGAAGTTCATATATTTTGGGGAAGGGTCATTACTCTACAACTGCAATACCCTTGTGATATAAGTGGCCCAGGGTGGGATGGGAAGTGAGTCCACCTCATGGTGCAGAGTGGAAGCAGGTGAAGTGTTTCTGGAGCCGTGAGGAGGAAGAGTTCATTTCCAGCCTGCGTGTGTAGGAGGGCTCAATGGAAAGTAAGGCCATTGGGCTGTGCTTGAAGGGTGCGTTGGGTAGGATGAAGGCAGAGAGGAGCATGGGTGGTATTGCAGGGAGGAGGGGAGTGGAAAGTACCAGGGCAGAAAGATGCACTGGCTGCTTGCCATGCAGGTAGCACTTCGCAGACGGTTTGTGACGTGACTGTGCCTGAGGGATGGAGTTTGCAGGAAGGATGTTTCTGAGCAGGGAAGAGAAGGGAGTGTAGGTGTTGCATTTATCCTTGTCTTTAAAATTTTTTTTCCTGATGAAAGGATAAAAGGGGATTTTATCTTAGGGTAAGACCTTAACAAAACTCCATTGATTTTTAACTTACATTTTTCAAGATACTTCTGTGAGCTAAACTAATCTTTAACACTTAGTACATATGACTCATGGTTAGATGGAATTATCTTTGTATTTTGAGTTAAGGCACTATAACAACAGTGTTTGTTCTTTTTTCTTAAAGTTTATTTATTTATTTTGAGAGAGAGAACATGCACACAAGCCGGGGAGAGGCAGAGAGCAAGGGAAAGAGAGAATCCCAAGCAGGCTTCTCACTGTCAGCAAGGGGCCTGACTCGGGGCTCAGTCCCATGAACTGAGATCATGACCTGAACCAAAACCAAGAGATGGATGCTCAGCCCACTAAGCCACCCAGGTGCCCCAGTAATGACAGTATTTGTAAATGTGTGACATTTTTCAGGGGGACATACACTCTGAGGATTCACAAGGGACATTATTCTAAGTGCTTTCTGAAGTTAAAAGGTTGTACTTTCACATTTTACTGTCACATTCTGCTGATATATCATTTATAGAAAGTTCCAATTTCTGATGAAGAACAGAGCGCTGTCATGAGTTTTGACTTAGGTGTGCAGAAAGAATTGGTTAGCTTTGTGCGCAAAATAGGCTGAAATCAAGCCTTAATTAGTCAGACTTTTGCATAATTCATCATAGTCACTTTGAACGTCCAGCTGAATATGCTCTTGATTTTTATCACAATGGGTTCATTTTAAAGGACTGATTGTCTTTTATTAGTTCCTTGCTGCACTGATATTTATGTCTTCCAAGTAAAGCCATGACAATGGACCTAGTATCCTTTTAAAGAATTGGATTGTTACATAGGGGTCCATAAAGAGGTGCATCGATCCATAAATTTTTTTTTCTTATTTAATATCACTGATATCAATCTAATCAGCTTTAAAGACAGGAAGGTAAGCTAAGTTTGTTTCTGTCTCTTTGAATCCATAGGCTGTCCATCTCGCCCAGGCAAGTTTCCAGATTGAAGCCTTTGGCTCCAAATTCATTCTTGACCTCACACTGAACAAGTAAGTATTTGGTTATAATCCTGTTAAGAAGCAAGTGCAATAACACTTTACTTCATGATAATGGTTTAGTCAAAACAGTGTCTGTTGTTGAAGCAACTGGTATTTTTTAGCCGACTATGTCATATTGCACTTACAGAAAAATATAAAAGTCTGAAGCGAATTCTGCCTTTTTTTCTTTTCCTGAAAGAGAAGACATTTAACATTTAACTTGCTAAATACCTCAGTAGAGTACTTACATATTATGATTTTAAATGGAATAAATATTTGAAGTAATGCTAGTTAATTAAATGTTAACTATGATCCTTACTATATATAGGAAGCATGATAAATTACTGACTCAAGTATAATTAGACTTCAGTCTAGAAATGTCTTCCATTTTACTTTTCATTATGCAATTCACATGACTTCGTTATGAAGAACAAAGAAAATCATGACTTGCAATACCTATTTTGAGAAGGTTCTTGCTTCATAATTTTCTCTAATACAGGTGTTTAGACATTGGTCCTGATCAAAATTCACCCAGTTTTTCTCTGAGCATGTATTTACGTTGATATTTAAATGCCATTTCCTAAGTTGGAGCCAATTGTACAGTACCGATTTCCTTGTAGAAAGCATAAGCAAGAGCTATTTACTGAAGCAGACCTCCTCAGCCTCTACTTGAGCTAGCGGTGAGCTTTTCTTGGGTGAAGAAGATTTCCTGTATGGTTCTCTTCAGCTGAGGGAGCTCCAGGAGCTCCAGTGAGTATTTTAAATTCTCCTCAGTATTTTGACCAGAACTGAATCTTTGCCAGAAAAATACCACATAATGCCATCAGACACTATAATGTCAGCAACCGCAGTCAATATCTGAGAAATTGCAAAAGAATATGAAGAACAACTATTAAATTTCTTCTATGCCAATTTCTGTGAGCTCGGCAGAAAAAAAAAGTGCAGAGTCAGCTTGGGTGCTCCTTATGCAAGTTTTGTTGCAGCTTTAGGTCAAAATGAATCAGCAGAACTCAGTTTCCTGTGGTAAAGCTGTTGCAGGTTTTCTTCTTTGAGTCTGCTGAGCCTTGGTTGAGTGCCTCTCCACCTCGCTGTGTCAGCACTGTACCTGCCTAAGAGATTTGTCTTGCCAAATCTTAGACTGTGTTGAGTAGCGAGGCATGGCTAATTTTAGTTTGTTTAAGGTCCTCTATTTCTTTAACTCTTACTGCAATGGAGACTGTGATTCCAGACTGAAAGGTGGTCAAAGCAACCAACATTGCCATGTGTTTTGAACATTAGAACATCACGGCCACAACAGAGCCTCCCAATCAAATGACTGAAGAAGGCTCATAGGGGATGCCTATTGGGCTTAAAGTTCTGAAAACACATCAGAAAATAATTTATCAGTAATATTTAACATGCAAAGTAACCAAGATGAGACCTGCTATGCGTGGCCCTTGCCTTGAGGAGCTTCTCATTTAGTGGAGAAATGTTGATAGATAAATACTTAATTTTAGAAGAGTGTGAAATCTGCTGTGGTAGAGATAAACATGGAGGGCTGTGGTAGCACCAAAAAGGCAGCTCTTCAGATGGGAGCAGTGTGAAAGGGTGTCCTAGAAATGGTGACAGTTGAGCTAAATCTTACAAGACAGGTGCTAGTGAGGAGGGGGAGTGTTGGGGAGGGATGGGAGAGGAAGAGGAAATGGAGAATTGAGTCTAGACAGAGGAGATAGTGTGTGCTAAGGAGGCAGGCACAGGGAGCTGTGGGGCATTTTAAGGAAGCATGAGACTTTTATTGAACTTCAGGGTAAATTACAAAGTTGAGGCAGAGGGAGATGAGTCAGAATAGATAGGCCCAGGGACAGCTCAACTAATGGAAGATCTCATATGTCATGGTTAAGAGCTTGGCTGTTATCCTCTAGAATCTGAAAATTGAAAGTAAGGGAATAAACAGAAGTTCTGTTCTTAGGAAGTGCCCAGAGGCATGGAGAGGGAAGGCTCTCAAGAAATCTTCAACTGATAAAAATCATTAGGATCACTTTGATATGGATGACAAGGCCGAAAGAAGAGTTAAAATTAATAAGTGCCTTGCCTGATCGGATAGCTCGGTGGAAGGTTTTATCCAGGAGCACAGGGAACAACTGTTTAAATGGTGAAAAGGATGTGAAATTGGAATATGCATAATTGATTTGAGGGGTTTGGGATGTACGTGGGGCCATGTCTAGGAGGTAGGTGGATATAACAATCTGAAACTCAGGGAAGAGATGGGGGCTGGAGATAGTAGAGAGTTATTTCCATATAATGTTAATGACAAGCGTGATTGTGAATGAGACTGCCCAGGGAAGGTAGGCAGAATGAGAACATAAGCTGGAAAGATGGTTACGAGTTGAGGAGAAGAAGAGGAATCCATGAAGGGACAGAGGATGAGTGTTCAGAGAAATGGGAGAAGAATCAGGACAATGATTACATCGAGAGTTTCAAAACAGGAAGATGTGATTTAGAGCCTCACATGCAAGAGGATCTAGTGAGAGAAGGAGCCAAGATTACCCTCTGTATTTATCCATTAAGTATTCACTGGTCTGAAGGCAGTAGTTTCAGTGAAGCTTTGGGAGCAGAAGCTGGATTACAACAAGCTAGAAAGGACTGAAAGGAGGTGATGTGGGGACAGCAAGTGCCCACCGGGGAGGGCAGGGTGCGAGGGAAAGAGAACGAGGGCAGAGGCTAGAAGAAGACACTGGGGTCAAGAGACGGCTGGTAAGGGTAACACAGCAAGTTGCTAGCTGAGCAAGGGAGCTGGAAAGAGGGAGAGGTGAAGATACAGAAGAGACAGGAGATACTTTATGGAGCCCGATCTGAGTGAGGACAAACAGGAGTGAGACAAATGGCACGAGGACAGAATACAGTTTTGAACCAGGAGGGATAATTCATTCCCAGCCTATGGGCATGTGCAGGTAGAGATTCATTTGCAGGTGACGGGATGACATTCAGAAAATGCCTCTCTGGAGATTTCCTTCTTAGGGACAGCATTACCTGCCATAGGGATTGGGATGGATAGGGAAGGTGGGTTGGGGCTCGAGGAAAATAACAAAAGTTTAAGCCCATTGCTGGTAGGAATGGGTGAGAAAGCTTACCAAGGTCATGTTAAAGAATATAGGAGCAGCCGTCATCAGATATCAACCATGTGTTACATATCCGTCTTCGAGTCATTCTTCCTGATGGCATTCTGTTTTGTGTCTCTTAACCTGGGGTGCTGCATCACTGGAGGATGCGAGGGAAGGTAAGGAGACAGATTGTGGCATGGATCAGGGTTCAGATTTTCTGGTGGTAGCATAGGGGAGGAAGAGCGGAGGCACAGCTCTTTGAATACTGGTGAATAACTTGGGTACTTAAGTATTAGGATCTAGCCTGGTCAAGGAGGGAGATGAGCTCAGGAGGAGGCCTTAGGACTGGACTGGGAGTAAATGAAGGTCTCTTTATACAGGGAAAGGTAAATCAGTGGGAGGGAGGCCATGAAAGCTCTACCCGTGCAGTATCTCCCCTGTGCAGAGTCTGGAGCCTTCGGAGTGCAGTGTGAGTGTGCACTACTTGTATGACGTAGAGACAGGGGAATTGTATCAGGGTATGACACGTGCAGGCCAGGGTGGATCTCTAGTTTAAATGACTTTCAATGGCTGCGATTCACTAAAAATCTGATTCATGTTAGAATAAACTAAAGAGAATTTTTTAATCAGTCATGGAGGAACCGGAAGAACCACTCTCATTCCCACCATGGAATGGTCATCACCACACACCATGACTGTGTTGAATTCACCAGTATTCAACATTTACAACAATGTAAAATCATTGGAGAATGGAAAAGGGAAAAGGTACATGGCGAGTTCGTGGGCTCAGTGAAGGAATAAATGCATAAAGATATCAACATACACTGATCGAGGCTGTGGCCACAGAATAGAAGTGATTAATGAGCTTATCAGGCCTGGACTGCCAGCTGTGAAGACTACCCCAGTGTGGGTTCCTGAGAGGAGAGTGTTTTCGAGTCTGTGCTTTTATGGATTGGAGAAGTGAGGCCTTGGCTTACTGAGGCATCTCATGGCAGAGAAGTACGTTTTACTGGTTTGTTCAGCAAATGTCGAGCAAGCATCTGCTGTATGCCTGGGACTCCCGTGGGTGCCGGAGCTGCTGAAAATAGGACGGGTGGGGTTCTTGCTTCTGTCCATGGAGCTTCGTTCACTAAATAAAGGTAGATAATATGTGATTACAGGGACAGCAGGTGGGGATGGCCAACATGATTTGAATGTCACAGAAGCCAGGTCTGTCAGAGGAGGGACAGTGAACTGAAAACTGATTGTCAAAGATGAACCACCACCAAAGCTGGAAGGCTGAGGACAGTGGGGACAGTGAGTGCAGTGGGGGTAGACTGAGGAGATGAGGTCAGAGAGGAAGCCACGTAGCCAGATCATGAAGGGCCATCGTCTGTGGAGATGTGTTTGGTGGGACACTGTAGACGGCAGCGAGCATGGACGTCAGTCGCACCACTGGAGTTATTTTATGGAGCCAAAGAATCCTAGTCATGGCCTCAGAGGACGTTTGGTCATTTTCCTTTTAGGATACTCCCTTTTTCAATTTTGTTTTGTTTTTCTTCTAGAATAACCATTTTTTTCCAAGTTCAGAATGTTTAAAAAGGTTTACCAGATTAAGAATGCTTAATGTGTATTGATCCTCAGAAGTCCTGGGAAGTCCAATGATTGTCTCCTCCGTATGTGTGATTGGCATCATGCCAAAGTCCATATTACCTATCAATTAAATTTGCTGGTGTGTTCAGTAATTGTTTATAGGGAGTAACAGTGATCAGAGCCGCGTAATGGTTTAGATCACAGGTTCTGTAATCATACCTGGGTTTGAACCTGGGAACTGTCATTTACTAGCCATGTGACCTTGGGCAAGTTTCTTGGTTTTTGGTTTTGTTCGGTTTTTCTTTTTCTTTTTTAATGTTTATTTATTTTGAGAGAGAAAGAGAGAGAACAGGGGAGGAG